TGGGTACACCTTCTATCACAGATCCGAAGGCAAGAAATTCGTTGCTAAAAATGGATCCGTTCTAGAGAAGGAGTTTCTCTCGAAAGAAGTGAGTGGGAGGAAAGTAGAACTTGATGAGGTAACTATACCTGCTCCCTTATTGGAAAGTAGTTCATCACAGAAAACGGTTTCTGTGACACCTACACCAATTAGTGAGGAAGTTAATGATGATGATCATGAAACTTCAGATCAAGTTATTACTGAACCTCGTAGATCAACCAGAGTAAGATCCGCAACAGAGTGGTACGGTAATCCTGTTCTGGAAATCATGCTACTAGATCATGATGAACCTACGAACTATGAAGAAGCGATGGTGAGCCCAGATTCCGCAAAATGGCTTGAAGCCATGAAATCTGAGATGGGATCCATGTATGAAAACAAAGTATGGACTTTGGTTGACTTGCCCGATGATCGGCAAGCAATTGAAAATAAATGGATCTTCAAGAGGAAGACGGACGCTGGTAATAGTGTTACTATCTACAAAGCTAGAATTGTCGCAAAAAGGTTTTCGACAAGTTCAAGATGTTGACTACGATGAGAGTTTCTCACTCGTATCAATGCTTAAGTCTGTCCGAATCATGTTAGAAATTGCCGCATTTTATGAAATCTGGCAAATGGATAAACAAAGATGCGTTCCTTAATGGATTTCTTAAAGAAGAGTTGTATATGATGCAACCAGAAGGTTTTGTCAATCCTAAAAATGTTAACAAAATATGCAATCTTCAGCGATCCATCTGTGGACTGGTGCAAGCATCTCGGAGTTGGAATATGCGCTTTGATGAGATGATCAAAGTATATAGATTTATACAGACTTGTGGCGAAGCCTGTATTTACAAGAAAGTGAGTGGGAGCACTACAGCATTTCTGACAAGTATATGTGAATGACATATTATTGATCGGAAATAATGTAGAATTATTCTGCAAAGCATAAAGGAGTGTTTGAAAGAAGTTTTTCAAAGAAAGACCTCGGCGAAGCTGCTTACATATTAAGCATCAAGATCTATAGAGATAGATCAAGACGCTTGATAAGTTTTTTCAATGAGTACATACCTTGACAATATTTTGAAGTAGTTCAAAATGGAACAGTCAAAGAAAAGAGTTCTTGGCTGTGTTACAAGGTGTGAAATTGAGTAAGACTCAAAGCCTGACCACGGCAGAAGATAGAAAGAGAATGAAAGTCATTCCCTATGCCTCAGCCATAGGTTCTATAAAGTATGTCATGCTGTGTACCAGATCTATTGTATACCCTACATTGTGTTAAGCAAGGGAGTACAATAGTGATCTAGGAGTAGATCACTGGACAACGGTCAAAATTATCCTTAGTGGACTAAGGATATGTTTCTTGATTATGGAGGTGACAAAAGGTTCGTCGTAAAAGGTTACGTCGATACAAGTTTTGGCACTGATCCGGATGACTCTTAGTCTCAATCTGGATGCATATTAAAAGTGGGAGAAATTAGCTAGAGTATCTCCGTGCAGAGCATTGTTGACATAGAAATTTGCGAAATACATACGGATCTGAATATGGCAGACCCGTTGACTAAACTTCTCTCACAGGCAAAACATGATCACACCTTAGTACTCTTTGGGTGTTAATCACATAGCGATGTGAACTAGATTATTGACTCTAGTAAACCCTTTGAGTGTTGGTCACATAATGATGTGAACTATTGGTGTTAAATCACATGGCAATGTGAACTAGATTATTGACTCTAGTGCAAGTGGGAGACTGAAGGAAATATGCCCTAGAGGCAATAATAAATTTATTATTTATTTCCTTATTTCATGATAAATGTTTATTATTCATGCTAGAATTGTATTAACCGGAAACATAATACATGTGTGAATACATAGACAAACAGAGTGTCACTAGTATGCCTCTACTTAACTAGCTCGTTAATCAAAGATGGTTATGTTTCCTAACCATAGACAAAGAGTTGTCATTTGATTAATGGGATCACATCATTAGGAGAATGATGTGATTGACATGACCCATTCCATTAGCTTAGCACTCGATCATTTAGTATGTTGCTATTGCTTTCTTCATGACTTATACATGTTCCTATGACTATGAGATTATGCAACTCTCGTTTACCGGAGGAACACTTTGTGTGCTACCAAACATCACAACGTAACTGGGTGATTATAAAGGAGCTCTACAGGTGTCTCCAAAGGTACATGTTGGGTTAGCGTATTTCGAGATTAGGATTTGTCACTCCGATTGTCGGAGAGGTATCTCTGGGCCCTCTCGGTAATGCACATCACATAAGCCTTGCAAGCATTGCAACTAATTTGTAAGTTGTGAGATGATGTATTACGGAACGAGTAAAGAGACTTGCCGGTAACGAGATTGAACTAGGTATTGAGATACCGACGATCGAATCTCGGGCAAATAACATACCGATGACAAAGGGAACAACGTATGTTGTTATGCGGTCTGACCGATAAAGATATTCGTAGAATATGTAGGAACCAATATGAGCATCCAGGTTTCACTATTGGTTATTGACCGGAGACGTGTCTCGGTCATGTCTACATTGTTCTCGAACCGTAGGGTTCGCACGCTTAACGTTACGATGACAGTTTCATTATGAGTTTATGTATTTTGATGTATTGAAGGTTTTTCGGAGTCCCGGATGTGATCATGGACATGACGAGGAGTCTCGAAATGGTCGAGACATAAAGATCGATATATTGGAAGCCTATATTTGGATATCGGAATCGTTCCGGGTGAAATTGGGATTTTACCGGAGTATCGGGGGATTACCGGAACCCCCCGGGGGTTATTGGGCCTACATGCGCCCTAAGGGAGCAGAGGAAAGGAGGCAAGAGGTGGCCGCGCGCCCCTCCCCTCCCTAGTCCGAATAGGACAAGGAGAGGGGGCGGCGCCCCCCCCCTTTCCTTTCCCTCTTCCTCCTCTTTCCCACTTCTCCTTCTCCAACTAGGAAAGAAGGGAGTCCTACTCCCGGTGGGAGTCGGGAGTAGGACTCCCCCTTGGCGCGCCCTCCTTGGCCGGCCGCCCCCTCCCCTTGGCTCCTTTATATACGGGGGCAGGGGGCACCCTAGAACACACAAGTTGATCTTCGTGATCGTTCCTTAGCCGTGTGCGGTGCCCCCCTCCACCATATTCCACCTCGGTCATATTGTAGCGGTGCTTAGATGAAGCCCTGCGACGGTTGAACATCAAGATCGTCACCGCGCCGTCGTGCTGACAGAACTCCTCCCCGAAGCTTTGCTGGATCGGAGCCCGGGGAGCGTCATCGAGCTGAACGTGTGCCAAGAACTCGGAGGTGCCGGAGTAACGGTGCTTGGATCGGTTGGACCGGGAAGACGTACGACTACTTCCTTTACGTTGCGTCAACGCTTCCGCTTCGGTCTACGAGGGTACGTAGACAACACTCTCCCCTCTCGTTGCTATGCATCATCATGATCTTGCGTGTGCGTAGAATATTTTTTAAAATTACCACGTTCCCCAACAGCCAGAACCTGCACTGCTTCCGGATCAGCAATGTGGCCATAAACGCGCCTTGTGATCTCGCAACAGTACCCTCATCCACCTTTCTCTCCGTGTCTCGAGACCGCACAGTTAAAGTTGATATTGACCCATTCGTCATTCGGGGGCTCCCACCTCTAGTCGTCATAGGCTCCGGTTGCAACGCCCTCACCTCATGTGCCAGCTTCCACTCGGCCATGTGAACCTTACCGTAGTATTTCATGTGACGGGAGATCCTCTTCCTGTCTCTTTCATCGTTTCTTGCCAACCACAACCCGTAGGCCGCGAGGACCATGGTCTCCTTCTCCTCATCGACAGCAATGGCGAACCAGTCCGGCAACCAGGAGGCTAGGGCATTCTGGAAGTCCATCTGACTTGGCAGGGTCACCACTGAAACTCCCAACTCCGAACACAACATCCCCCGAGCTGAACTGAATGTTGGCAGGCCCAGAAACGATGCATCATCGTCTCCTCTCGGCCGCACACAACATAAAAAATACCAGGTTTGATCCGACGTTGAAAGAGCTCAGACCTGACCACCAAGTCGTTTTGTATCATTCGCCACATGTGTATCTTGGCCTTTGCAGGTGCACTTCTTTCCCACGGGGCCATATATCCCTTGTTCTTGTTAACCGAGCTCGAGGACTCCGGCTGGCTATCAGGTCCTTGCCCTATTCAAAGCCATCGTGAGATGATAAGCAGATTTCACACTGAAGTTACCATTTTTTATCTAGCTCCATGTCATATAATCCTTAGTGCTACCTTCGTCTTGATTTATTGGTCCCCTTAGTATTTTGTGCTAAACTTTGATCATAGATTTAACTAAAATTAATAATGCATGTCGCCAAAAGGTACATTATTATTTTTAGTTAAATATGTGGTTAAAGTTTAGCACAACCAAGATTGCTATGTCTCAATCGACTGAGACATAATCAAGTCTTAGACGATGCTATATTTGTAGGATCTTACGTTGAGATCCGTGCAAATTTTTCTTTTTTCTTTCTTACATGTTATATCACTTAACTTAGACCTAGTTAAATATCAGTCGACTGAGACCTAGACACACCCTAGCACAAAATACTGAGGAGACCAATAAATCGGGACTGAGGTAGTAGCAGCTTGCATAATGTAAACGGGCAAAAATATCAGGCAACACGGCATGCACCTGGTGGACGTGTCACCCGGCCGGCCGATGAGCGGTGGTACATGAGTCCATGTGACAAAACAAACTGTTCTTCGCTCGGGTCGCAGTCGCCATGACAGCGCGGGAGAGCAGAGGTGCCCTGGGCCTCCTAATCGATATCTAAACGGACCTACCGCTGCACACACCACACAAATCACAGCACCAAAAGCACAAGAGAACCTTCTTCATCATCTTCTTATTCTTCTTCTTCTTCTTGATTAACCAGTCCAAGAAGAAGAGTCCGCCGTGGTTTTCTAGGTAATAATCCAACTTTCTAAGTTAGGCATGGAGGCTGTAGAGCCGGCGGTGGTGGTGAGCTGCGAGTGCTGCGGCCTGGAGGAGGAGTGCACCGGCGAGTACATTGGCGGCGTGAGGGCCTGCTTCGGGGGCAGGTGGCTGTGCGGGCTGTGCTCCGAGGCTGTCAAGTACGAGGCCGGCCGCAGCAAGCGCACCGCAGCCATGGGCGTGGAGGAGGCCGTGCGGGCGCACATGGCCTTCTGCCGCATGTTCAGGCGCGGCGGCCCCGCGGAGCGCGTGGCCGAGGGCATGTGCCGGATGCTTAGGCGCACCGCGTGCGAGAAGCACCGGGCCACCTCATCGTCCTCGTCGCGGCCGACAGCGCCGGCGACGGTGGCGTCAGCGTCCGGGCACCACCGCGCCTCGGTGCCGTCCCCCCGAGTTGATATCTGCTTCTTGAGACGAGGTGATGCTTCGGACATACGTCTTCCTCGGCAAAGCTAGCTAGCTATATATATGCCAATATGCATGTGATGTAGTAGTATATTTTGTTTTGAATCTATTCCGAAAACTACACACAAGTGTTTGATGGAGTACTATATACGAGGTTAAAGCTCAATTAATCTTCACATGAAGATCTTGATCTACCCAACGAGCGAGCAGCTGTTCTTGGCCCAAATCCTTTCGCGGTGTAATAATATACGGACTGGTGCACTTGTTCTTCAGAGGTTTTTTCTTTGTTTCTTTGCACACCGGCTTCAGTTTTCTACCCGATCGACGAGACGAGGCCATGGCCAGGCCCGTCGCCTTCGCCGTCTGTTGCTTTCGCTATCCTCGCCCTCAACACACGTGCAGAAACATGAGAGGTTGATACTGCTACTGCATGCTCACCCGTGGAGAAATTTGTTTAGATAATGGAAGAGGACTTCTCCCGTGGAGAATGTGAGCTAGTCACTGGAAGATTTGTGTCCACTGCAAGTTTGTCTGATAGACATACGTCCTGAGTACAAAAGCTCTGGCTTGCATTCTAGCTTGATACTTCCTGGCTACCAGAGAAAATGCACACTGCACACATGTATACATATTACATACAAAAGCTTTTTGATCGACGTCCAAGTTCGAAGATGAGCGATTTGCTTTAGATTTTTTTTCGAAAAGAAGGATTACCCCCGACCTCTGTATTAACATGATGCACACGCCATCTTTATTAATCAATACAAGGATCAATCGAAGCCTCCTTCTAGGCAAACAAAGTCGCTACACCTACAAGCATACAGATGTGCCTTGTCCGCAGAACAGACACAATCTAATCTAGTGGCCTGAAGACCATCCGGTTTAGGCGTCCCATAACGTGCACCGCCTACGCACGCTCTAGGATCTGCCGATGCCATCTTCCGCCATCCCGTCTTCAGGAGGAACTAGCAAACATGTCTGTGCGTTGCAACGGGAAAAAAACAATCACACCTCTAATGGCCCAAGACCTCTCAGTCCAGCTCATATTTTCACAAGAGACCGCTTAGTTCCGACCCATGGTATAATACATGTACACTATTAGCACCGGGTGGTGTCTCTTTTCTCTATGCAAAAATCAAAATCTAACTGAACATGTCGTACTCTTTACTTTTATAGCAAACATGCCGTACATTGCACCAGTGCATAAATATTTAGTAAATAGGGACGTGCATTACAATAATTAGTGGGGTAATAAATCTCTCTCCCCCTTCGGTCATCTCCTGAGTCCTCCATGTAACCATGTTGATGCTCTCAATCTCCTGGAGCTAGTGCATAGTATTAGAGTTTGATGCAGGTAGAGAAGAGATACAGATATAGATTATTTATTCCTCCTACTCTACCATATACCTACAGATAGAAATTGGGTCAAAGCAACATTTGTTTCCTTTTGAAGAAGCATAATAAATGATGTGTCGCAGCATGTTGTAGTAAGAGCTGTGCAACTGAGATTTATTTTTCGCATTTGCTTAATCTAGACATACCAGCTGTGCTGGATATATATTTTTTGATAAGTTGAAGGAGTACATATAGCAATGTTTCATATTGTGGGTTTCATTAATGGATTGTACTAATGCGCAGTCGTTCGGATTTTAAACAACAAATCAGGACGACCTAACTAGTGCGTGCATGCATGCGAGTGCATGCAGCCACTTTTTTCCACATGCATGTGATTACTAGTTTTTCTCTCTCTTCATGCACATGTCATGACTCTTAATACAATGCCTAATTATATGCATGCATGTAAGACAAAATTGATGACATCACTCTAGATTCTCTCGTATTTTGAATTTCCAAAATGTTTTGTAGTTCAAACCGTCCGTCTGATCGAAAAATTGTTTTCACATAAAAAATTCGGCCCACGAGACCTTCGAAACTAGATCCCATGTTGATATGTTTCGACAACTTTTTTTTGAGGCAAAATGTTATCACGCCTGGGTATGCAAGTTATCACATATATGGTACATAAATTACCACAATGTTTACATAGGCAAAATTCTGGCCATAAAAATGACTTCTTCCAGCTTTCTCCCCTGATTCCGGGCATAAAAAGTGCGGAAAAGCTAATGTCATCATAGATTGTTTTTATTTTGAAATTTTAGAATGTTTTATAGCTCAGACCACTTGTTAGATCCAAAATCTGTTTTTACAAAAAAAAACCGCCACGGCGAGACCATGTTTTTTTGGCATGGTTCGGATACTTTTTTTGGGTCAATAATTATCATGCATGGGCTAAATAAGTTATCAGCTTTGCTATGTGTATATTACCGTGTTATTTACACAGATCCAACCAAACTTTGTTTTCATCAACTTTTGTTCACGGGTCAAAGTTATCGAGGTGTTTGTACCTAAATAATCAGGTCGGAGAGCCTATATTACCATGTTATTTATACTGATGTTACCGGAGTATGTTTCCAAACAACTTTGTTACGCGAGTCAAAGTTATCGTGGTGTTTGTATCTAAGATATCAGGTCTGAGAGTGTATATTATCATGTTATTTACATGTGAAAGAAATTAGTGGTATGTTTTCAACAACTTTTTTTCACGGGTCAAAGTTATCGTGATGTTTGTACCTAACTTATTAGGTCCAGGAGCCTATATTATCATGCTTATTACACAAAAAGTTACCAGTGGTATGTTTTCAACATCTTTTTCCCCGAGTCAAAGTTATTGTAGTGTTTGTATCTAATTTATCAGGTCCGGGGGCATATATTACCATGTTATTATTTACACAGATGTTACCGAAGTATGTTTTCAACAACTTTTTTTCACGGGTCAAAGTTATCGTGGTGTTTGTACATAAGTTATCAAGTCCGGGAGTGTATATTACCATGTTATTTACAAAGAGAGTATATTTTCAACAACAACAAAAATTCACGTGTCAAAGTTATCGTGGTATTTGTACCTAAATTATCAGGTATGCGATGTATATATTACCATGCGATTTACAAAAATAAGTTACCAGGGGTGTTTTTAACAACTTATTCCCCGGGTTAAAATTACCCCTCGATGTTTATATGCAACTTATCAGCTCTGTGGTGCCTAAATTATCATGCTATTTACAAAGAAGTTATCGGTACTATATTTTCAACAACTTTTTTTTATGGGGCAGAGTTATCGTGATGTTTGAACCTAAGTTATCATGTCCAGGAGCCTATATTATCGTGTTATTTACACGAAAAGTTATCGGTGGTATGTTTTTAACAACTTTTTTTCACGTGTCAAAGTTTTTGTGCTGTTTGTACCTAAATTTTGAGGTCTTCGATGTGTATATTACCATGCGATTTACAAATAAGTTATCAGGGATGTTTTTCAACAACTTATTCCCCGGGCTAAAATTACCCCTAGGTGTTTGTATGCAAATTATCAGCTCCGTGATGCCTAAATTATCATACTATTTACATAGAAGTTATCTGGGTTCGGATTTTAGCATTTTCGTAAATATAATAGGGCATCTACTTGACACAAACTGCATCTATTGTCCCTCGGATTTATCTGTTGAAACTAAATTTACCTCTTAATTTACCCAAGCTGCATTTCACAAAGAGAGAATGGAACAATGAAAGTCTGAATTTTCTGAAAACTAATAGTAGACCTTGGCCTCATACACTTTCTTCAGATAAAAGAACACTAGAAAACAGATTTTTCTGGATTGAAATGATGCATTTGTACGCATGTTCTAGCTGTTACTGCCGCTGCTCATTTGGTATTCTAATTGGAAGCAAAGTGCAGTTGCTTCAGAGGTCAAATCTGCAATTTATTCAGAGGCCAAAAGTGCAGTCACTCCGTCACACGCAAGCTGCTGCAATTTCTTCATAGGCCAAAACTGCCGTTGCTGCAACCGCTCCCTCAGACGCGCGAGGCGAGCAGCGACACGACGGCTCCCTCTGCCGCCCGAGCGGCAGGCACCGGCGGTAATGATGGGCGGCGGATGCAGCCCGAGGTCGAGGCACATGCGGCGATGGTGGGCAGCGGATCCAGCCTGAGGTCGATGCAGCCGGCGGTGGTGGGCGCCTGGACTTCTCCCTCTCCCGTTTCTCTTCCTCTCACAGCCGGAGCTGGCTGAGCTCGGCCATGGCAGCCATGGCGCGGACGGAGCAGAATCTCCCGTGGATGGAGATGAAAGATTGAGGGGCTCGATTGGGGGCTGTACGGGTCGGAGGGAGGTGGCAGCCGGCGGCGGCGCTCGCGGGATGGGCGGTGGCGGGTGTTCCGATCGCTCGCAGAGAGCTTTCTTTTTCTCATGCGTGACAGTGAAAGAAATTATCGAGCGGCTGCCTGCGTCTTACGTGGGGGATCGAAGGGCCATCAGGTCGTACGCGCCTGTTGCAAACCATCGGTCGGCAGGATTTTAGCTTTGCCGTAATAAAAAATGTATGTTCAATGTATGCATGCATCCCCGTAAGACACATAGATTACCTTAAATTGTAGAGAAAGCTTTGGTGAATATACTTGGAGTCCGTAAGCACCTCGGCTTCCGGATGAAACTCATCAAAACCTAGTCGAGGAAAAGGCCGAGGTTGGAGTTGCACCGTCCCACGCCTCTTAACGACCAGGACCAACGCGTAGCTGCCGGCATGGCTTCCTTTGATCACACGGAAGCAGGGTTGCCCATGTACCGGATGAGGAACTCCAACGGAACACACGGAAGCGCCATCTATGGAAGTACACACACTCCTGGATGGCTCAGCTCAACACCGAGGTGAATTCACATCCAGTTCGTTTCTTGGCGAAGTTTGTATCAAAAATCATCTTATATAAAAAAAGCATCACCTCGCCCGGCGCTGCCGAGAATCTCCGCTGCCTTTCTAGGCTTAATTAGCCACTCCCTTTCTTGTATTTGTCACATGTAGCCACACACCAATTTATTTCTGATGCTTTAATTTCTTCGTTTCCTTAGGATAAGTTGGGCCAACACCTCAACCTGGGTTCGTTATTTCTTCTTGATTCTACGATAAATTACACCTGTATATAAACCGGTGAGATTTTAACC